GAGGTGGGGAGTAGGGCGATAAAAGTTCAGACAGGTATTGAGGTGCCAAGCCATGTAAAGCCTTGTATCCGTAGCTGACAGAACCTGCTCACTCCCCCTCACCACCACACGCAGTAAAAGGTCAAGACTCGACGTTCATCTCATTTCCAAACGGAATTTAATAAAACGAATCCCAATTCCATTCAACCACGTTGTTTATGGCCTTTCTATTTCTTCCACACCGTTTTCTGATTGTGCAGGAATGGTGGGCATGTACCGCATTAGAGAGATGAAGCTGTTCTGGATCTGAGGATCAATCAACCAATTGATCGGTTCCTTTGTGTGGCTGGGTGAAAAAAAAACTGCTTCTCATTTTACAATTGTGACCTGGCTTTGAAGTCAATAATCCAACTGCATTTGTTACACTAACGCAGAGAGGAGAGCTGGGTGTTCAGGGCTGGTCAGTTTGCCAGCTAGTTATTTTGCAATGGGTAACAGATGGACAGGTGTAGGAGCTGATGTCAGCCAGGTGACCTTCACTCTGAGGTCTCTCCGAGAAAACGGAAGGCCGCCGACATGTATGTTGCCTGGGAAGCTGATGGAGAAAATTTATTAAAACTACAAAGCCTAAAATGCTGCGCACATTCGCTGAAGACTTATGGCTTTAGTTTAACACAGGAGACAGGCAATTAAATTGCAATAGAAAACCGGAGCAGCTCTTATAGATTTAAATTGGATTTTTTTTAAAAAAAAAGGCTTCAGTAAATGTATCCAAAATGCATTGGGATTTGGCGCAGGAGTGTGAAACAATGTATTTTTTCAATCCTTGATATGCAGTTTCCTGTCTTCTTCTCTAAGCCTCAGTCTGTGTTGCTAATGGCTGTTAAAAATATCCAAATATCCCCCACGTGCAGCAGTCAGCCATTGTCCAGTAATCCAGTCTGCTTCCGGATATTTGTACTACGTGCACAGCCGATCGCGTCTGATAGGACGAGCACAAGGAGATGGAGTTTGTGTTGAAAGTGTTGACATCAGTCGGCTCTTTTCCTCTGCATCTTGGTTCACTGCTTCCCGAATGAAGGTTTGTTTTCAGTCCAGATCAGGCTTGGTTTTGAAATATTGCGAAATACAGAAGCTATTCCAAACAGTGCGTCATTTCCAGACGCACACAGCGCACTGAGCGCCATGCCTCTTGTTGTTCCTACAGCATGATGTTTTACGCACAGAGTGAGCTAGGTTGCAGCTGAATGCATGTCTGATCAGCGACTGCAGAGGTGCTCTCTAGCCCCCCCCGTACCTGTGTCTTGTCCGCACTCACACACACATGTGCTTCTTTGCCTGTCTGTCCATCTGTGTGTCGCCTAGGGGAGTCGGCCAGCAGCGGGGAGACCAGCCCCCCAGGGGGTGCGTCCAAGCGCGCCCGCACAGCCTACACCAACGTGCAGCTGGTGGAGCTGGAGAAGGAGTTCCACTTCAACCGCTACCTGTGCCGGCCCCGGCGCCTGGAGATGGCCGCCCTGCTCAACCTGTCCGAGCGGCAGATCAAGATCTGGTTCCAGAACCGCCGCATGAAGTACAAGAAGGACCACAAGGGCCGGGCGGGGCTGGGCTCCCCCCTCGGGGGGCTGTCCCCCAGCCGCAGCCCCCCGCCGGGCTCCTCGTTCTCGGGCGAGCTGGGCTACGAGGCGCCCCTCTCTCAGCCCTACGGCAAGGCGGCCCCCGGCAGCAGCATCTACGGCCTGGCCGCCTACTCCGCACCCCCCTACGAGTGCCCCCCGCCCGCGGCGCAGAAGCGGTACGCCGCGACCTCGCTGGCGCAGGAGTACGAGCAGCTCTGCGTGCCGGGGGACAGCGGCTACGGCAACCCCAGCTCCGGGTACTCGGGGGCCGGCTTCGCCGAGCCCCACGCCCCCGCCCTGCTCTCCTCCCACCCGCCGTCCCAGCTCTTCCACCTCCCCCACCCCTCCTCCGCCAGCATGGACTACTCCTGCCCCGCCTCCAGCCCCGCCAGGCACGGCCTGGGCCCCTGCGACCCCAACCCCTCCTACACCGAGCTCAGCTCGCACTGCTGCACCGCTCAGGACATCGCTCAGGAGCCGCCCACTCTCACACACCTGTAAGGGCCGGCCTCGGCGGTCGCCCCTCTCTCCCTCCCTCTCCCTCTCCAGACTTGAATCCCTCTCTGACTCAGGTGGCGGACGCGCAGGTCTCAGCTGGACAGGGCGAGGTCACGGCGGGCTGGTACGCCTCCCCCCCCCCGTCCTCCCGCCGCCCCGCAGGACACACCTGACCGACGAGCTCTCCAGCCCCCAGCCCCCAGCCGGCTCTCGGCGCTGGGGCGATTCGATCACCGCTGGCTCTGGTCCCCGAAACCCCGGCTCCCCGCCTCGGTGGCACTCGCCGCAGGGCCGCAGACACGGAAGCACAAGCGAAACCGCAGCCTTCTCACCGTGCCTGACCTGCCTGGCCAGGGCAGCGGCCAGCTCTTGGCTCTCTAGTCCGCCAGGAAAGCGACTTCAGCAGAAGAGAAGGAGAGCTTGTAGACCACTTACTCTCCAGTCCCCCCCCAACACACACACACACACACACTCCCAGTACCCAGGTCCCTCCTTCAGCCCCCTTGTGTCTCAGACACATCCCTTAAAAACAGCTCTCTCTTCATGAGGATCTGCAACACTTCTGGCATTTCCGAACTGAGCAAATCTAATGAGCTTACATCTACTGAGCACCGGAAAGAAACTTTTGTACTCACAAAATTACAAAACGTTTGTCTTTCTGTAGCACGAGCACTGACGTTTTATTAAACAGGGCCCAGGTCAAATTCATGATGCTGTTGAACGCGTGTCATCAGCATCCTCGCAACACACCCGCAGAAAGAGTCGTGCGTTCGGTGTCATGGGCTCCCATGCGGGAGCTGCTCATTTGTGCAGGAAGTGCAGGTCTGTCTCTGGAGTTCAGAAGGGAGATCTTCTCCTGTAAGAGGGACAGTTGGCCGTTTTAACTAGAACATGCAACTTTTCGCCTGCAAGTCCGTTCTTCACTCTGGACTGGTGGGCCACGGAAATAGAAGCACATCAGATACCCAGCTGGATGATCGACTTGTCATGTTGCATTTGCGCTCCTGTCATCAGATCTTTACTGGACGCAGAACAGGAGCAGCTGGCCCTTTCTGCACTGCCTTTGAATGAAATTCATCTTCCATTTCAACAGCCCTTCCCTTTGATGGTCACAACTAAAGCTCTTGAGCCTATTTGAGCTCAAGTGTCCTCTCCTCAGGCTGTGACTGCAGATTCGAACCTCCCACCCTCATGTAACTAATACACACACTATGTGTGGACACTGGGCAGGGGTGATGAGCTGCCTTTTTTCAAAGGCTACAGTACAAAAGCGACAACGATGATGTTAGCAGCCTCTTACCTCTTCGGTATGACCGTGCATCGCTTGAAGAGAATTAAGGCCCCGTTGTAACACTTCCTGTGGAACTCAAGACTCAGTGGAGTTCGCGATTGACCCTCCTTCGTGCACAGCAGTATTATCAGCCATTGTGATTGCATCACAGGGCTGCGTCTAGAGGTGCTCATCCAGGGTTCTCCCCAACCCCTTCCTGGCAGCCGGGATTTGCTTTGTCACCTAACGGATCTTGAACCGTCTCAGCACCGACCCCCAAGAGCTGCCCAACACCTCTCACAGGCTCCTCTTGCAAACTCCCGACTCAAAAACTCAGGTCAGGTGTCCGTCGCGAGAGGACAGATCTGCACAAGATGGCGAAAACGGCACCTGGAGGTTGGAAATGCCTCAGGCTCCCATCGTTATGTGAGAGCGAAATGCATCCGAAAACTGTATCACTCCAGCTGCTCTCTCATCCTCCAATATCCCGTCAGTATTATCCTGTTATTACCTCTGTATTTAAGCTCTGTAAAGAAATGCATGTGGAATATTTATTGGTCGTCATTTATTGAACATTACCTAAGCCATGAATACTGAAATTATCAGGGTAAGCAAAAAAGAAAATACACAGGGTTTCTTATGCATATTTGTATTTCCTTTGAAAACAAAGTCAAGGATTTTTCAAGGATTTAAATGGAAACAATTACGGGTGATTATTCTTTTGTTTTTGTATTTTGCTGTTCATTTCCTGCTTGTTAAATTGTCTCTTTACTTTTAATATTACCCCTACCACCCCTGCTCTCGGGCGCCCCCTAGAGTGTAATTTTTCAATTCTATTTGTATTTATGTAAAATAAATTATATGTTCATACCGAATAATCCCTTCCCCTTTTTTGTAACTTTTGAGGTGATTAAAGTTCTTATGTAGAAAACATATATTTATAAGATTTAGCTACAGCTGTACACACCTTTTGTTTAATTTTCAATTGTAGTATTAAAATATGCAAATGAATAACGTGCAGTGCTGCGTCATTCATCACAATCATCAACCGCAAGGATAAGCGGTCTTTGTTAAATGAGAGGGTTCTGTAAACACAGTTATCTAGCAGACAGTTTAAGAAGAAAGTATATTCATCCAGAGGATTAGGTTGCTTGTGATTAATTAATTGGAGGATCTTGGCCCACAAAGTATCAGTGTCTGCAATAACAAGACTGTGCACCTTGTTCCCAGGCACTCACCTACAACTCTTGGTGTAAAGCTATGTCACATTATTTTTATTCCAAAAACCCTTCCCGTGATTGTCCCCAGCTCCTTGTTTCACTCTGGACCCTGAAGCAGTCAAAGCTGGTGTTGGAAAAGGATATGACGCAATTTGTTGTTTGCTTTTTAAGAACTTCTGTCAGTGATTGATGACTTCACTGGGGGAGGGGTGTTCTGGTATTGAGTGATGCGTTGCTTTGAAGACAATTCCCAAGCATTTTGTAGGAAACTTGAGAAGTAAAGGGGCTGTTGGGGAAACATTTAAGTGCCCGCAGATCGAAACAGCGACTCAGAAACTGGATCACTGGGCTAGGCGGGGCTGTGCTGCAGTCACTTACAAACTCTCCGCCCCCCCCCCTGTGCCGAGACAGAAGAACCACCCTAATCCCAGCAGAGCAGGTGCGCAGGGGCCTTGTGTGACATGGGCGTACAGGGGACGACCACACTGGAACACCAGGCAGAGGACTTAATTTTATATAGCATCTTTAAAGGTAGCATTTCAAAGCGCTTTGCAGTAGGCGTGAAAAAAAATAAGAAAAGAGAACTGTCAACCAGGATAGCAAATTAGAGAATAAGCACCTATAAAGAACATGAGTGGTTAGAGATGCAGCACAAGATACAAGGTCATTAGAAAAAGGAGCTGACACAGACACTAATTAAGTAAAAGCCTTTCTGAAAAGAAAAGGTTTTGAGTCTGGATTTAAATGCAATCAGGGAAGGTGACTCTCTCATATCCCTGGGGATAGATTTCCAGAGCTTTGGGGCGCAGCGAGAGATGGCCCTGTCACCCACAGAATAAAAACGAGCTTGGAGGACATCCAGAAGGCCAGAGTGAGATGAACAAAGGTTGCAAGGTGGGGAGTAGACAGATAATAAATCAAAATTTAGCGTCTTATAGGGGCCCAAGTGAAGACATGACATGTATAAGAGCAGCAGAAATACGGTAACAAACTTAAATAATGGTGTGTGTGAGGGTCTGCCCAAAGTGCTTGAATATACAGATCATTGAGCAGAAGAGAACAGCAGCATGTCTCTGCACCTGATCACACGGATCCCAACAACAACCTAGTGACTCCTCTCTGACCTCACAGATGGCATCATGGCTGGAGAAGCTTGAGCAGAGGCTGCACCAAGCTAAACAGCTCAGTCCAGCTCGGAAACACGCCTGCTGCTGAACTGAGGTTAGATTTTCCTCCACGGCTTCTAAGTTGGACTCCCTGTGACTGTCCAGCTCCTCTGCGTGTTGATGAAGCTCCGTATGGACACTCGCAGGCAAAGAGCTCTGCTTCAACCAAACAAAACCCCGAGATATTAAGGTACTCGTGTCCTTCACTTGGTTCTGTGCTGCAGCCGGACACAATCAGACATAGATAGACGCAGAAAAAACATTCAGCTTGGTTGCAAAACCATTTTATTTTTTTAGCCCAGTCATCCATAAATCATTCTGCGCATTTCTGTAGCTTGAGTGCAGAGTGTTTCACTACAGGAGGGGGCCCACGTCTCCCCCAGTGTAGAGCAGCCCCACTGCACAGTGGCTCAGGGCAGGAGAGAGGCACTGCTCAGGGCACTGCTGCTCCAGGGGTGAAGGAGGGTGAAGGAGGAGCTGGAGGGAGAACAGGGAGAACAGGGAGAACAGACTGTGCAGGAGCAGAGTGGGGTTTGTCCAGGACACCCCTACAGGCAGGTGGAGGCTCAGTGTGTTGAAAGAACACAGCGGTTTAGGGGCCGGAGAGAAACACTGCTGCTTCAGGGAAAATACCGGGGAACTGCAGCTGAGCTGGGACACGGCGTTAACACCCTAACTCTTACCGCATTCTGGGGTCCTTAATGACCCAGACGCACTGCATTTGCGTCCCGATTTGAAAGTAGATTCTATCCATAATGTAGATCCAAAAAGCCCATAGCTCAGAGCCCGGAGACCGATCTCAGACTCAGCCGGCTGAGCCCAGACCGGGGGGAGGGAGGGGCGGCTCCGACAGGTGAGGCGACACTCACCCGCTCGCTCCTGCCCGAGTCCGGCGCGCCGGCTGACGTCAGACAGGCGCTCCGTGCTGAAGCAGGGCCTGGTGCTCTCTCGGCGCAGGCGGTGTCAACTGCTCCGCGGGAGGAGAGAAGCGTTCAGTCCGGGGAGCTCTGCTGGTTGCTGGTTGACGGATGGCTCCTTAAAGGACAGTTCTGCCTTGGCAGGGCAGGGGAAAGAGAGACCGTGCTGCCCAGTGAAGACCGAGAGGGGAAATAAGGGCGACTGTGTATATTTCTGTTACACGTGACACTCTGCTCGGAGGTGGGCCTCGCCAGCCTCCCCCCTCCCTCCGCCTCCTCCCTTCCTCTTCCCGACATCAATCATCCGGACAGGGCGCGCTTCGGAGTGGTCCAACCCCTCGCGCGCATTCAGCACTTTCCAGGCTGTACAGCCGCCCCCCCCCTCCTCTCCTCCTCCACGGGTGGACCCCGGAGTGGCCGACTCGGGTTAGGTGTCTCCCTCTTACAGCTGTCTGGTCTGGCCCTGAATATCCTGAACGCAGATTATGATTTCGTAGGAATGATAGTCTCGACTCCTGTAT